TGAGCCACAGGTGCCAAGCCCACTTTAATCTTAAAGGAAACTTTTTTATAACCATCACCTCAGTCAAAGCATGGGACTTGCAGAAGCCCAGTGTGCTTGCTTTCCCTGACAGAACCCCTTCCTGCTGCCAAAAGTAACCACCATCCTGACTTGTGTAGGGATGCTTTTTTCACAGTTGCTTTTCTTTATAGCTTTTCCTCCTCAGTGTCTAAAACATGTAGTTGGGCTTTGTGTTTGAACCACTAGTAAATCAGTGGTTTGTGAGCCACTTGTCACCAGCCTGTCACTGGCTTTCCGTGTCTCCACTCCTCCCGCATCAGTGTGTGTCCTTGGTGCTATAGCATCTTCCCTTGTGGACTGTGCCCCTTTGATGTCTCTGTCCCACTGCTGATAGGCACCTAGTGGTTCCCTGGTGGGGGACACTACAAACCACGCTGTGTCTCTGAGTGTGGCCTCTGTTCCTGTGGGGCATGAGGTGATGTACACAGTGCTGCTGGGGCTGGGGAGGTACTGCTCAGCTTCTCTCAGTCATGCAGAGTCTCACCAACCAGAATGCACACAGTGTCCTGTTCTTGCACATTCTGGCTCCCCTGGTTGCACCAGACCTTTATTTTTTAATTTACTTTTATTTATTTTATTTTTAATATATTATTTGTAAATATTATACAAATTTTAATAGTTTAAATTATATGACAGCCAAATAAAAGGTTGCATTAATGATTGGTGGTACTTATGTCATAGCATAAATGTGTTGAGTTCCATTTCCTTGCTGAGGCTAGAGACTTAGGAATGACCTGGAATCTCTAGCAGTGATTTTCCTGTAGGCCAGCACTGGGGACACTATTGATCATGAACTAGTTAGGAAGACATGGCCATTTTACATATGGGAAGACTGAGGCCCAGAGATGTTCACTACAGGGCCTTAAGTCAGAGACCAGTTGGAGAGCCAGGGTCGTAGCCAGCCTGATATCAGGGTAGACGGGGAACTCAGGCCTTTCACCTGTGATGCCAAGGATGGGGCCAGTGTGAAGGCTGACTAGGTGGCATGAACTGGCAGGGGCAAAAGCCCACCTTGATTCCAGGTCTGCAGGCTGGGGAAATCAGCCCTGCTCTGGGCTGCAAGAGATGCCAGGCACTTGGTTGTGGTCAGGTCATCCAGAAGCTAGCCCTTAACCTCCAGGAGCTGGGAACTGTCAGGCCCAAGTCTGGTCTGGAATGGAGAAGGGACCCAGAATGGGCCTCCTATCTCTCTGTCAGACAGAAAGAGGCCAGTAGGCTGACATGGGCGCTCTGGGTCCCTGTGCTCAGCATTGTACTTGGAACTTGGGACCTCCAGGCTCTGTGCCTGAGGAATCTGTGTTCACCATGGCTTACAAAGCCAGGCCAGATGTAGAGCAAGGTCTAGGAAGGTTTGCTGCAGTGAGCCCTAGTGGCCAAGGAAGGGATGTGCCCAGTCCCTTAAATTGGGTTGGGGTACCGCACCCGCCAGACAGACCCTTGAATCTGAAGCCCCAGTGCAAGAACAGGCCAAAATGGAGGGGAAGGGACAGCAGCTAACCCCCTACTCGCTTGGCCATTCCTGGTTGGTCTCCAATGTTAGCTGTCCCTTCCCCAGTGCTGACACCTGTGCACAGGGCTCCACTAACCCCCAACCCTTTAGCTCTCACACTCTGCCCTGTGCTAGCCCACAGCCCTGGTCTCTGAATCCTAGTCCCAGAGGCTCCAACACACCCCCACAAAGGTCCTCTGGACTCTATAGTCTGTGGGGACACAGTTGTGCAGGCTGCTCAGCGGGGCCTCTTCAGGAGCCAGGCCTTGAGCTGCTGGTGACAGGTATCTTCCCTAGCAGTGAGCTCAGGAAACCTTCCACATCCTTCTGCAGAGCCCAGATCACAGTCACTGGGTGGCTGCCATGTGTGATGTCCTCGCAGACAGAAGTGTTGTGCATCTAAGAAGGCCCTGCATAGTTGGGTGGGAAGGGGCGTCACTGGAAGTCTGTCACCCACTAGAAGGGGGACAGTGTTTGTGTTCTGGAGGTCTAGGATGCTGGTGGGGTAGCAGGTGTTCCACAAACTAGTCCTCACCCACAGACACCACAAAGTGGGGTGCTCCAGAGGCTGGATGCCAGTTCTCCAGCCTTTAGAGGCAGTCAGAACATGGTAGCTGCCATCGTATCAGACTTTTAAATTGTGCCACTTTGGTGAGGACATAGTAGTGTCTCATTACATGTTAGTTTCTGTTTTCCTTATTGTTAATGTCCAGCAAGAGAGGCAAAAAATCACACTGCAGAGCAGTGAGCCCCGGTGTTACTGGGGTCTTAGGACTTGTAGTTTGGGAGACAAGAGATTCAGTCAATGGCGAAATTGTGTTTCAAAGGGAAGAAGGGGGGTCAGAGTTCTTATAAGATAGTTAAGGGTTTTTGAAGGAATTGTAGCTCGTAGAGGTAGCTGGCTCAACACATGAGTCTGTGGCTCGGTGGTCACTCTTGCTGCACTGGCTGTTTCCACAGTGTTGTGGTTATTGCAGTTTGGCCCCCTTTAAAGACTCGAGGCAAGTTCCTGGGGAGGGGGTTATTTTGTTTTATTTTTTTGCAAAATTGCAAGTATGGAGGTAGTCCTCCTAAGAATGGCTTCCTGACTACATTTTAGAGCTCTGAACCAGAGTAACACTGTTTTGTATATCATATTTTATTTCACACTAATGAGACTAAATAGCTTTTATATTGTCATTGGCTCTTAGTTTTTTTT